GTCGGCCTCTAAGACACAGAAACTTTCATATTTTTACCATATTGTTTGACCCTTACATAATCTTATGTTTAAGCTTGATGGTGACTGGATACACTTACTGGACCAGAATTAATGGTTTGAAAGCAGTAATTAGTTTTTAGTGGTGGATTTCTGAGTGACTATAGTATCTGTTGATGGAGATATCTGAGCATTTAATCCTGTTTTCCATAGTTAATGCTTTGTAAACACGGGCATACATCATATCCTTATATTAGCAGTATGACAATTTGTGATCTAGGCGATTTTGTCTTTAGAGCTAATGTGTAATGAACACGATGAAACTTGAAACACAATTTTCAAATCACTGAGGTGCCCAGATTCTCAAAATGTAAGTACCGGTATTTAAAAAAATGTTACTTAAAGTAACCTTTGCAAAATTTTATTTTGTCATCTCACTATTTTCCAATTTTTTTTTTTTATTCAATTCAGATGCAGGTTTTATAGATTTTTAAACACATTGAGAGGAATTTAAAGCTGGTTTCATCATTTTAGAGTTCATAATTCTTCAACAAAACTTTAAAATATATCATAATTTGAATCACTATTGATTAATTTTCTGCTTATGCACTCTGTGTGTTCTCATTTTCTGCTAATTGATATCTTAAAAAGTTTTTTGCAGGAATTGTGTATGTATAGACATATTTGCCTCTTTGACTTTTTTTAATTTAGGTGCACTATTGTGAACCCTACCCCTTTTTTATGTGTTAAAATAATAGTTTGATGAACATAGCATAGCTCCCAACATTCATAAATTCTCAAGTAATTACTTTTTCAGTAAGTATTTATTAAACAATAACTTAAGAAACAATAAACATCACCTGTCTTGCAGCATTAAACCCTTGCATCAACATACCTATGTGCTACATTCTAGGACTTTCTTTAAAAAGATTTACTTCATAATGCAAACCACAGAAAAAAGATCTGAAATCTTGCCAATAAAATCCTAAAATGATATACTCTGATTATTTTATATCTATATATTATATATTTGATACAAGGAACAATTCTGAAGCCAAAAATATAACAAAACTTGTATATAAACCACAAAATTAAAATAGATACTTAGTGTTCTCTCTGAAGATTTTGATATCCCTTTGTGCACTTTCATGTTTCACTCACCTGTACTTAAATTGTTCCTTTATAATAAGCATATCATGATGAATATAGAGTGTAGAGTATACAGTCAAACCTCATTATCTGGAACCCATTGAGACTGAGAAAAAACTTAAAGATATCCTAAGATTAAAGATATCAAGGTTAAAAAAACAAAAAAAGTGGGGACTTTTAACTCACTTCGACATATCCATGGTATTCAAAATATCGAAGTTTGAGATAACAAAGTTAAACCATATTTGGAAATGTTAATCTTTTAAGGCTATTTTTTACTTCTATGCATATGCTATGTAATATCAAAATTATTTAATAATTGATTGTTAAATAATTATTTATTTGTTTGTTTTGCATAATAATGTTTGCATAAAATACAAAATTTTCAAACAGGGAGTTTGTTTAATTTTTTTTTTTTTTTGAATGAAAATTTATATTAGAGTACAGTGCTATATTGATAAATCAATGCTTTTTGTTCATTGATAAATTGATGTTGAAGTTTTCATTCATGAAATCCTTGGAAGCTATAGATAAGTATATAAAAAGCAAGTTATATGTTATATGAAATATTTCTTTTTCAGAACAAAAATAAACTGTAAAGCAGGTAGAAAATGTTAAATACTGTTACTTGCAGCATTCAAAAAATAATATTTATTTAGAACATCTCTACATGAGTGAAAAATTCTTGAATGGGATGTAAAACAACATACAATCAATCAATCATATTTAGAACAGAAACTTTAATCAGCTGTTCAATCACTTCCATGAAATATAATTAACTCTAATCTGTGAGATTTCTTTAGACATATATTTCCATTCAGTTATTCAGTTACTATGAACCTTATAGAAATTTCTTGCATTTTTTATGATCAAACACCGAAACATTGACTCTAAGCGATGACATGAATTGAGCCCAATGGGTCTGTTATTTAGTAAGTCCCCGAGGTGATCAATGGTTAATATTGGATGTGTATTGTGTTGGCAAAGTGATCTGATGGATATTCAAGGAAAACTAATATCATAATGATTGCAAATTATTGATTTTATGCTTTTTAATAACTAAGAACAGTTGCAGAATACTAACATCTTGGACTGAATTACAATTGGAACACCATGTTCTAGAGTAAATGGGATATTAATCTGTGTATCCATACTCAGCATGAATGACTGACTTATAGATTTTGATTCTTGACATGCCCGATATAAAGTTGCCAGAAGAAGTAATTTTCCTTAATTGCTATAACCAATTTCACTAATTACATCATGTTTACAAATTCTTTTTGTTGTCTGCACTAATCTTCATTAGAGATACATTGGACAGGTAAGATTTTCACCTGTAGAGATACAACGCTATCATATTCTACTTTTTCAGACATTTGACTTTTTGTTATATAAGAACAGTAAAAACTTGTTTACAATATTGAGTAAGGTAATTGTGAATATCAATTTTTTTTAAATGAACTAATTTTTTGATTACGTAATGAAAGGAAATTAAGATCTATTAATTGTAAGGTGCCAACAGATAATATTATAGTATTCCAAATAGAAATTCTATTTTATGGCAGAGTCAATTTTATTATAAAATGTACAGTAACAGTAAAATATGTTTGTAACAAAGTGCCAGGGACAGACGATTTTGCTTAGTTATAGGTGTAATTTGTTATATCCATTAAATTTACAATGTATTTTTAATTCACAGGGAATAAAATGACTTCACTGTAAACATCAATTCATTATAAGCATGTTTGCTATCAGCTTGTTTTACTGTATTAAAATAGCAGTTACTTGATCTGAATTTTAGAGCCTGATCATGTCAAGTTGACAGGCCTGGATCATCAGATAAAACAAGATGCAAAGTGATAAATAATGCAAAAAATTAAATACTAAAAAGTCAAATAATAACGCACAAATAATTCAAGAATGCCTGCTTGTTTTCTGAGTGCATGACAAGAAGTGCCATCGAAATTCTCTAATTTTTTTTGAAGGGAAGGGGAGGGGGGGGGGGGGGGAGGGGGGTTTCACTGTTAAGAAGTAAAGGACAGTTTAATCATATGATGTTTCTTGGAGCAAAACAATCATCTGATATCAATTGCTAGATTTCTGCCTTAATAGCCTGACTATAGTATCTACGAAAAAGAAGCTAAAGACAAGCATGTTGTCTGCTCCTCCAGCTTATGGATAAAATGAAGTAAAATTGATTTCCAGAGTGGATCATTTGAACCATGTTGTACTGTATCATAAATTGAAGATAGAAAACATGTTTAAATTGCCCACTCGTGCTTGATAGTTACAGAATGTAAGAGAGAAATTCACTTTATATATTAAACTATGAATTTGATACAGAGTAGCTAGACTTCATGCATTCTCTGACCATGCAAGAGTACACCTATTGATGCACTGGACTTGTAAAGTTACATGTTCTTGAATTTCAATTCGCATCACAATATGAGCACAGCACAAAAAATCACATCATTAATGAGTTATAATACTTGTAAAGTTTGGATCAAAGTTGTTACCTGTTTCCTTAGCTATTCTCATCATGCCTTGTGAGACATAGGGCCCCAACAGAGCATCTCCACTCATTTCTATTGGTTGCTGCTGTTTTAGCTGCATTCCGGCCATGTTCGCCATCCAGCTTCTGTCCTCTTCCTTTCAACTCTGTTGGGCTATGTTGCTTTTGGTCGCCCACACTTTCTTATTCTTCAACTTTGTGCTCTGAACAAAATTTTGAAATAAAACTTAAAATTATTGCCTATTTCCAAGACATTTTCATGGACTTGAAACATTGATGTAATTTACAAAAAAAAAAAAAACAAAAAAACAAAAAAAAACATCATTTTTATTAGACATTATTGAACATGGATTCAATGGGTAATTTAGGCTTTATGTGTAAATTGTGAAAAGACTTGATTTATCAACATTTAATGGGGCTTAATCAGGTCCTTTGTGAATCTTATTCTATCTGCAGATTAGTCATACTGATGGAGAATGTTTTAAAAATTAGATATAATGCCCTGTTTACAAAAATGTGCATTAAATATTTAATTCTCAGTAAATTGATCTTAGACAAAACTCAATTAATGCAAAGTAAAATACTGCAAATTAAACACATTTTTAATGATTTACATGATTTTTCATTGTTTTTTACTCAAAAATAGCATACCCGGTAAGTACTTAAATATGACCATCACCATGTTGCATGTGGCTTAATTTTGTTATGACTCATGCATAGAAATTTAATTTGACTCAACTTTGCTTGGCATCCACATGGAGCTAATGTGAAGCAATTTGATGCACAGTAATCCCCATCTAAACACTGTTCAAATTTAACTCACAGTAATTTAATTTGAATTGAACTCTCCGTGTTAAGTGCATTAGTTTCATTTCATTATGTGCTTTTATTAACCAGTGGTGGTCAGGCAAGTTCATTCCCTGGTGACCAGTTGAGCACCTTCTAAGAGTTCAGGGGGCCTGGGTTCAAATCTTTGTCTGATCTGTTGCATTTTCACCCTTCTTGTTAGCTCACCTGAGCCAAAGGCTCAAGTGAGCTTTTCTGATCAAAATTTGTCCGTTGTCTGTCGTTAACTTTTCACAATTTCATTATAACCACTGGGCCAATTTTGACCTAACTTGCCACAAAGCATTGTTGGGTAAAGGGGATTCAAGTGTGTTCAAATGAAGGGCCACACCCTCTTTTAAGGGGGGAGATAATTAAGAAATAGTGAAAATTTGGTGGGGTATTTTAAAAATTTTCTTCTCAAGAACCACTAGGCCAGGAAAAATGAAACTTATATGGAAACATCTTTATGTAGTGTAGATTCAAATTTGTTCAAATCATGACCCATGGGGGTAAGGCGGGGCCATAATGGATGATCAAAGTTTTACATAGGAATACATAGGAAAAATCTTTAAAAATCTTCTTCTCCAGAACCACTGGGCCAGGAAACATGAAACTTATTTTGAAACATCCTCAGGTAGTGTAGATTCAAGTTTGTTCAAATCATGACCCCCAGGGTTGGGGCGGGGCCACAATGAATGATCAACTGAAAGTTTTATATAGGAATACATAGGAAAAATCTTTAAAAATCTTCTCAAGAACAGCAGAGCTATGATTAAACTTATCTATATGGAAGCATCCTCAGGTTGTATAGATTCAAGTTTGTTCAAATCATTACCGCCGGGGTTGGGGCGGGCCACAATGAATGATCAAAGTTTTGCATAGGAATACATAGGAAAAAATCTTTAAAAATGTTCTTCTCAAGAACAGCAGAGCCATTATTAAACATATTTATATTGAAGCATCTTCAGTTAAAGTAGATTAAAGTTTGTTTAAATCATCCCCCCTTCCATTAGGGGTAGGTTAAAACCACTTATAAAATACTGAACTCCTAGCCAAATACTCAGGTGAGCGATGTGGCCCATGGGCCTCTTGTTACATGGTCCATTGCATTTTCTTCCTTTCTGCTACACCTTTCTGTCCATCATTCTTGTATTAATATAAAATAAATAGAAGCAAGGTAATACTAAGTACAAATTTTGGAAACAATACTTTATTGATCATATCAATTTTTGTTGATTTCCATACTGTTTCTCAGCAACTTCGTTGTGTCTCATTCTAACTGAAATCAGCTTTTAAATTAATTTGGGTATTATCAAGTTTTTATTCTACTGATGAAATAAGAGAGATTATAGGATCTTATTTATCTCACACTTTTGATCTCCAGAAGTGTTGTTTTAGTAAACTGAGATACTAGACTGAGATTTGGTATATTTTTGTATAAGGCAATGTATTAAGAGAGTTGCAGATTACATTTGAGTTGCATGGGATTTCTAAGCTTTTGTCACATTGTAGCCCTTTACTGACTGAAAATCAATGAAAATTCTGTTTTCCAGACATTTTGTTTTTCATTAAACTTGGAGGTATTGGCTTGAGATTTAATAGCTTTTCTGCATAATACATGTAGTAAAGATGCAGTTCAAGTTTGAAATACAACTTTTTTTTCAAGTTAGGGCTCTAAATTGACTGAAAAATCAATGGAAATACATTGAAGTATTTTTATAAAGATTAATAGTGTTCCATAGAATTTTGTAGAATTGTTCACAGTAGCTGTCGTAATTGCATGTGAAGGAAGTAGATTTTGATACTTTCGGAATGTTCTTTTTCATAATAATTTAATTGAAAATATAAGTCTTTTAAATTGTTGATGTTGGATCAAGATTTGGTTGGTAGATGTCATGTACACTAATGTGCTCTACAGAATTACAGCAGAACTTTGTATATCTGATTGCTCCCTAGTGAATTGTTGCCTGAAAATCAAACTTTCTTTAAACCTTCAGATACAGTTGAACTTCAGTATCTCGAACTCTGATATCTCAAACACCATGGATATGTAGAAGTGAATTGGAAGTCAAAACCTCTAATTCTTTAAGTATTTTAACCCCAATATCTCGAAGCCTTGAATATCTCGAAGTTTTTCCTTGGTCCCTTGAGTTCGAGATAATGAGGTTTGTCTGTACATTCAAAAATTTAATAAATTGCTGTGTATTAAGTAGAATTGCTGATTGCGTTTTAGAAATTCTAACCCTGTTTGACTGAATTATGGCCCATTATTACTGAAAGTGCTGACATTTTTGTTTTCTTATATTTTATACAATTGGGAAGGGGGGGGGGGGAGATTTCTGAAGAGAATATGCAAAAACTGTTTTATTAGCAAATAAGATGCTTTAAAGTTTAGAATTTGCTTTTTTATAAATGCACAATATAAATATCTAATGTATAAAAATGTCAAGAAGAGTCATATAGGCATTTTAATTTCTTTAATTAAAAATATTTATGAAAATGAAGAATTATTTGTTTTTAAACATATGTGTAAAATTTGTAAGAAACAAGTCACGAATTGGAATATTTTTAAAATACACAATCACATCTTAAAAAGAAATTGAAATGAAATTATAAAGCATTAGAAAAATTGCTAATTTTCAATTTTGAACCAGTCCCAATTGAAAAATTGAACTAATCCCAATCAAATTAAAAAATTATATTCTTTTTATTCATAAATTATTTTTTATTAGAAATTTAAAAAGACTATACAACTCTTCTGGACATGTTCTATTAGGTATTTATATTGTGCATTATAACAGGCAAATTTAAAACTGTTAATTAGTATCTTATTTGCAAATAAAACAATTTTTACATTTTCTTCAATTGAAAAAATGCAAAAAATTCACGTAAAATTTTTAAGAGCTGATATCAATCTTTCCCTGCTGAAATCATATTTAGATCCATGAAATAAAATTATGGCATATTCGACCTTAAATTAAGATTTCTTGTGTTAATGGAATACATAGTATAATCAAAGAAATCATTTTATACAGGAGGACAATAGTGTAATTTTGCTTCAATCAGAGCAGCTGAATAGTTTTTCTAATGCAAATATGAATAATTTATAAACCTTCATTATTTCAGTAAATTACAATTTCACATAAAAAAAATTCCAACATGAAAATTGCAGTAGGTGTTTCATAGAATTCTGTAGACAGTAGCTGTCATAATATAATGAGAAGGAAGTTACTGTTAATTCAGAATTGTTTCTTATACTCTCAGAATGTTCCTCATATGTAATTAACACTTAAAAATATTGAACCTGTTTGCTGTATTAAGTCAAAGTTTGTTGACCTGGAATTTGAAAACATCAGCCTTAAATTAAGCAGAATTTAATTATTCCTCAGTAAGGCAGTGAGTGAACTCCAATGTAACATGGTATACGTGTGTATGAGAATGATATCCTCCATTTCTAACCAATAAAATAGTACTGTAGATGAATTTATCTCAGTAAGCTTACTGTGATGTCATAGACATTTGCAGGAGGTAATTTTAATATTTTGTTGAATATGGCATGGGCAGATTCAGGAAGTTTTTTACTGGGGGAACCCCACATCAACTGAAAAATATTGGAAATGGAATTTTTTTGACAAGGCACCAAAAAGCTTGTCCAAACCAAACCTGAAAAGCCTATTGGGGGAGGGGATTCCAAGGTAATTTTTTTGTTAGTTTAAAATAGAAATTTAATAATTCCTAAAATCTCAACTGGGGGTGGGGGGGGGGGGTCTGGATCTGGATATCCTTGACTCCCCTCAAGATCTGAAAATATTCAATTTTTAATTAATAATACTTTTTAAAAAAAATACTTGTTTGTCACTATAAATCAAAGACACGGTACAAATCATTTCTGAAATATGATAATCTAGTTTTGATTCAATATAATTTTTCCTTTACAGACTTCATATGGCTAAATAACAATCCATGTTTTTACAGTTTTTATTAAAGCAATATGAGCAGTAGTTAATGCACTTTTGAGAATTTTATTTTGCTGTTAAAATGTGATTTTATGATAAATCTGTATGTAACTTAAATCTTTTTGATCAATTAGACTAAAGTATTAAATTGTTTCAGAAGAAAATTTTCTGTACAATGGAATGTATAGTATTATATAAGAAATCAATATTGTACAGGATGACAACAATGTAATTTTGATTCAATCAAAGCTTAAAATTAGTTCTTCCATCGCAAATATAAAAAATAAAAGTTTATAAAGTTTCTTTTTTCTGTCAATGAAATAGTTAATTACAATTTTGCAACAAAAATTTCCAACATCACAGTTGCAGCTAATATTGCTTTAAAGCAATGTAGTGTAAAGATTGATTGTTCAAGAAATTCATGAAGACAATTATAAGTTTATGTATCTGAAGATAAATCCCAAAGCATTAGGAATATTCAATAATTAGATTTACACCTACGTACTATTTAGTAAATGTTTAATTACTGGAGGATCATCAGATTATTGTACAAATTACTTGGTGATAACTTTTGAGGCATCTTTATCAACAAGAACAGAAAATCAATATTTAATTTAGAAGATCTTGCTTAACTCCTAGCTTTACAGGATGGTATAATAACAAAAACAAAAAAAAATTCAGGTCCTATTAAGCTAAAAAACATCATTATTGGAACTTTATTACAGTACTGCTCTTTGAGATTGACATATTTATTATTATCATTTGTCTAAAATTTGATGGATTAGAAGATTACTGGTGATAATTAAAATTAATCAACGCAGAATCTCACTGATGGATATTTAGAGATCTTATCACATACTTGGAATCTTACAAATGAGTTTCCCTACAATGGAACATTTATAACTTTTAAATGTATTATTTATTCAAATCTTAAGAGGTTTCATTATAATATTCACCATGAAATAATATAAAATGCTTGAAATTCAGAAACAGTAATATGTTTTGTCAAACTCTGGGAAAAGTCTTGGTAAACTTGCTGGCAGTTTGTAATGGAATGTTAAGGAAGGTGTTAGCTGTCTCACCTCGGTCGCTCTAATGGGGACCAAGATAATGCACAGTTTTCCTCTGAGGCCTTCAAAATAAAAGGGAAAAAACAAAACTCAGAATTTTGATAGGCGCTTAATAAATAGATACATGAACTTCATGAAACTTTTTCTCCTTACAAGGGTAAAAAGTTTAAAAACAAATATGACTTCGATTCATTTCTAAGACAATTAAATGAGTTTTACAATTATTAAAGTTTTCCAGGATATTTTGTTTGTATCATAATTACTTTAAATTGAAAGTTGTTAGAAAATGTTACTGTATTGATCTTCTTTTTATACAGTAGCAATACATTATAAAAATGTAAATTTTGTGTAAAATTTATCAATGTCCATAGAGTATGTTTTTGTTTATTTCAAAAGATTAATTAGTTCAGAAAGGAATTAGAAACATGTTTAAACATGTTTTATTACTGACCCCTGAAAAGATAATGACTGATTTTGAGCAGTTCAGAAAGTACTTATCACTATTTTAAATATATTATTACATATTTCCTCTGTAATGGAATATTTTTTGATATATTCTAGCTCTAATTAATGAAGTATAAATACACTAGCATTTACCATTATCTAAAAAACACTGATAAAAGTGAGTAGACTTTATAGCATCAATCTGATTGGTTGATTCCAGATTTGAACTGTTAGAGGTATTTCTGTGATGCCTTGGAGCCAGATAGTCAGTCAGAGAAGTACAATGGACTGAGCTTATAATGGGATGTACCTCATCTAATGCTGTTCGAGTGGAGGACGAAATTCCAAGATCACAAAGTGGTGAGTTTACTTCCTTCCAGTCTTTAAATTCTTTTGTTAGCCTTGAAAAAAAAATGATACATTTACTTTATCTTATATTACTTGTTCACTTTGTGACATAATGCAGATGTATGAGCCTGTGGGTGTATAATTGTTATATGCTACATGTGCAATATATTTATAATTGTTATAAAACTAATTGACTTTCATTTTTCTCCCACTAATTTAAAAGAGTAAAAAATATTTAATGTTTACATTAAAGGTGTTAAATAATATAGACCAATTTAACGAAGTACGTTTAAGACTAAATATGAATTTAGTTCATTAAAAATGCCTTCTTTTATGAAAGCTTTTAATTATCTTAAAGTTTTAATAGTATTTATGATGAAAAAGAAAATATTAATTTTTTTTTCTTCATTTGGTTCCAATATCAATTATTTTTTGCAGTACATCTAAAAATACATTTATAAAGTGGCTTTCATTGATAAAGTACCCCCCTCACCCCCCAATGATTTTTTGCATTGAAATGATCCCTTGAGCTCAACTTCTTGCAGCAAATTCAAATTCAACAAGGATTTAACATTACTAAATTTCTGCTACATTGGAAAGGGATCTTCATTTGTTGTGATTTTCTTTTCTGTGCTTGCTATCAGTAAAATAATGACACTGCAAACTTCTGGAATAAACTTGGGGATGATCTCCGGAAATGATGACAACTCCTTCATACACCTGAGAGCAATGGGCAAAAATGAACATTGTAAATTAATTTCTGAAGAATGAAAATTCATGTCATCCTAGTTTTGTTTCAAGTTCTATGTTTTCAGTCTGATTAAAATAATTAGGAAATGATAAAACTTTGATGTTAAATGATATTTTCTTTCAAGACAACTGACAGGTCAAAATTTATTTGCTACAGTCAAAACTGACGTTGAAGCCCTGGCTCATTTTGGAAAGACATGTGATTTATAACAATTTACAATATTTTTGATCAAGTGTTTTCTACTGATGACCAAGCTATAAATCAATATGAATTAAATCAGTCACCTGATAACCAACATTAAAGTCTTCCAACATTCATGTATTACATTTCACAGTGGAGTTATTGATATACAGTCAGATCTCATTATCTCAACCTCAATGAGACCAAGAAAAAACTTCCAAGATATATGAGGATTTGAGATCTCCATTATAAAATACTTACAGAATAAGAGGTTGGGACTTCCAAAAAAGTAATTTAGGGAATATATATCAGGCGCGGATCCAGGAATTTTTTCCAAGGGGGGGGGGGGGGGGTGTCCAACCCAGTCAAAAAAAATTTCCAATCAAAAAATTTCTTGACAAGCAAAACTAAAAAAAAAACATAAATTCCCTTCCTAAATGATTTAAAACCCAGAAAATTTCTTGACAAGCAAAAGTAAAAAAAAAAGTAAATTCCATTTCCCAAACGTGAGAAACACCTATTTCGTGGTGGCAATGGTAAGGTCCACGATTTCTAAGGGGGGGGGGGGGTCCAAAGTCAATTTTTATTTGCTTCAGTATATACTTTTTATAACTCTACAAATTCTGGGGGGGGGGGGGGGGTTCCAGACCCCCCACCCCCTCTAGATCTGCACATGTATATAGCATCAAGGTGTATGTGAATAGTATGAATAGCTATCTTAAGTATATCATATAATGCAATTATCTATCATCTTTTGATTAATAATCTCATTTAAAGAAGAATATAAAGAATATTTTAGAAGTTAAAAGTAATTTAGGGAATATATATAGCATCAAGGTGTATGTCAAGAAAATCCTATCTATGAAAGGGCAAATGTATAGTTTCCGAAGATGTTAAAAAGGATAGCGATAACTTTGTTTGAAATCAAAGTATAAGTTTACATTAGATCCCAGAATGGCAAAATCATTAGGTTCCAACTACTAACACTTTTTTTGACAGTGATTCGCTCAGTGGTGCTAATACAGAAGTGGTACCGACGGTATTTAGCAAGAACAGAGGCCCGGCGGCGGTGCACATGGACAATATTCCAGTCTATAGAGTATGCCGGGGAACAGAATCAACTTAAGGTATATCAGCTTTTTGTAATAGGTCGATGGAAAAATATAAGCAGAATAAATAAGACTGATCTTACTTGTCAAGTCAATGATTTGTTGTTGTTGCTATCTTACTTGTAATTACTTATTTACCTTTATCTATAGAATCCTTGTTTTCTTCCATCACCTGCATTGTTCTTGTTCATTTACCATTATCTATATATAATGTCCTTGTTCATGCATTTTTCTTCATCTGCATTATGGTCAAGATGTAGGAAATGAGTTAAGACTGTCTTTTTGGTGCTAGATCCATTATGATGTCATGATTAACTTAAACTTACTGTTTCCTGTACGTTATGGCTTTAATAAAATTATGTAGAAAATAAAGCATTTTCACAGAATTCGATTTGAAATCCTGTCAAAAGTAATCCCAATACCTATAGTCAATTTAATATCATTTTAAAGAAGAGGTCAAGAACATACAAATTACCATTTTCTGAGTGACTGTAGGCAATCTGGATATATTTCTTTTGTCTGATATGGAAAAACTCACATTTACAGTAGAACTTCAGTATCTCAAATACTGATATGTTGAATACCATGGATATGTCAAAGACAGTGATTTGGAAGTCCCAATACTTATTCCTTAAGTATTTTGCCCTCAATATCTCAAATTTGTGGATATCTCGAAGTTTTTCTCAGTCCCATAAAGTTTGAGATAATGAGGTTTGACTGCATATCTGATTTTCTTCATTTTTCTTTGAAAATGACAGTTTCAGATAATTTTTTGTTGAGTTTACCTGAAAATTAAGCCCCAATACACCTTATTTTACTAAGGTATAGTTTTAAAGCATCATTAAAGAAATTCATTTATCAAATTTGAGAAATCTGTAAGTTACTTTTATTTACTAGATCTTGGCCTTAACTGTTCTTGTTCTAATCTTTCATCAACTTTGCCTTCATCTTGATTGTTCTTGTACATTATTTTTATCTTCAGTCTGTGTTTTTCTTTTGGTTTACATCTTTTTCAATGTCTGTATATTCATTAATGTCTCCATCTGCATTGTTCTTGTTTTTTTGCCTTTATCTGAATTCTTCTTCATTTGCTTTGAAATGCATTGTTCCCATTCATTTTCCTTCATCTGCATTGTTCTAATCCATGTGCCTGTATCTGTATTGTTCTTGTTTTCTGCCACCCTCTGCATTGCTCTAATCCATGTGCTTTTATTTGTATTGTTCTAGTTTTCTGCCATATTCTGCATTGTTCTAATCCATGTGCCTGTATCTGTATTGTTCTTGTTTTCTGCCACATTCTGCATTGTTTTAATTCATTTTTTTTTTTACATCTGTGTGCATTTTTCTTGTTCATTTGCTCCTTAGTTTTTGTTCATTTGCAATTTGTTATCATCTGTATTGTTTTTGTTCGCTTGCCTAATTCATCTTATTGTTCTTGTTCACTTGTCTTTGTTCTTGTTCACTTGTCTTCATCTGTATTAATGTTCTTGTTCACTTGCCTTTATCTGTATTGTTCTTGTTCCCTTGTCTTTGTTCTTGTTCACTTGTCTTTGTTCTTGTTCACTTGTCTTCATCTGTATTAATGTTCTTGTTCACTTGCCTTTATCTGTATTGTTCTTGTTCCCTTGCCTTTGTTCTTGTTCACTTGTCTTTGTTCTTGTTCACTTGTCTTCATCTGTATTAATGTTCTTGTTCACTTGCCTTTATCTGTATTGTTCTTGTTCCCTTGTCTTTGTTCTTGTTCACTTGTCTTTGTTCTTGTTCATTTGTCTTCATCTGTATTAATGTTCTTGTTCACTTGCCTTTATCTGCATAATGTATTCTTCATTTACCTTCATCTGCTTTATTCTTTTTATTTTTAACCCCATTGTTCTTATGCATTTATCCTTTTAGTTTGTATTATAGACATGAAGAAAAGGTTTTTGTTTGCCTTTATGTTCAGTGCTTTGTTTTGCTTGATTGTTGGTTTGCTCTGATCTACAAAGTTGTCTTGATCTATGATGGCCTTACTTCTTTGCTGCAATGAACCACTGTGTCATTACTGGTTTGCTGTTATCTATGATGCCCTTGTTGGCTTTGTTTAAGATTTATAGTGCCATAGTTTCATATTTAATAGCCAAGGAAATAGACAAAGAGACTAGTATTACCCTTTTAACATTATCTCTGGATTTTCTGTGTTAATGTTTCATTTCTCCATTATTTCTAAAAAAGTTTTAGGAACCAATCCATTATTTCATTGATTTTCAGTAAATGCATCATGAAGATTAAATGAAGATCATGTTTGATGTAAAATACATAGCAGACTTTTATTGAAGAGTAAGACTGTTTGACCTTTCTTTGTGTTTCACACTAATGGACAGGGTTTAAATGATTAGCTGGATTATGTATATTGATCCTTTAAAGTGACTTGTCAGGTGATTTGTATTTCTCTGTAGAAACCTTGATTGTGATGTCACAGCTTCATAAGATATTTCCTTTCATCTATCAAAGACACTGACTTTGATGAAAATTTTAGTTCTAAGTAAGATTGGCAGTCCATAGGTACATTAGTCTGACATGAAGTTGACATGAAAAACAAGTTTTCTGAGAAATCAAAAACCAGGGAACGTCAACTATGATATGAACTTGCAGTGATTAAAACTATCGTATAAGTGGAATTTTAGCTAGACGCAAATTTAGCAATTGGTCCTTAAAAATCAGTATTTAACTTTAGTGAGAAGTAATTTCAGGGATCTTAATTGGTGCAAAGAAAGATAGCAGTAACTTCTAATGCGAAATAAATTGTTAGCGATATTTAATTTTAGTGATCTCAACACTCCTGCCAAAATTGAATCTTCACTACAATTTCTGCTTATACGGTATGATGCAGACTTTCAATGAGGGGATGAATAGATTTAATGAGGCTGTCTAATTATTACTACCCTAGATATTTTGATAAATTTTCTTGAATGAATTTTTACTATTATGATAATTATTTTAAGATAAAAATATCAAATGTTTACCATCCCGACTTCTAAAAGGGCCATCTTAAAAGTTGTCAAATTTTACTATTGGACCCTATGGGAATTTGTTGGAAAAGCACCAAATTATCAAGTTTTTCCCATATTTTTTGTATTTCTGCCCTAGGGATTTCGTTTTCAGTCAAATACATGAAAGTTATTGTAAAAAGTCACCAAATTGTGAAATTTCAAAAAAGTTGACCATCTGGTTTGGTCTAGGAATTATTACAAAGTTTATTTTTTCCCAATGCCCAATACCTCTAAATTTGCCATATTGCGGCATACATTTTGTATATATCGGCCCAGCTGAATTATTTTGGTAAAAAATAACAATGTTTAGATTGCTGGTATGTTTCTTTTGATGTTCTGCCAACAGTGTTTAATAAATTGTCCATGGACGTCTTGAATACTCAATCAAGTCAAGCGTCATTCTTTAGCATCATGCATTGCTTACAGAACCGGAAAATAGTGACGTCGTGAAAGCCATTTCAGCATCTAAGTCATGCACACTGGAATTAGACTCGGCCTCGTTAATTGTAGAATACATGTACATGTACTCAATAAATATTAATGTGACCAAAAAATAACTGTTATGCTTGTAAACAAATACCCAGGTGCTTGATTAAGCACCAAGTTTTTTAACTGATCACCTTCAAACATTTTAAGAAGAAAATATTCATAAGGAACATGATTGATAGATGTTAAAGTTTAAAATGCAAGATTTGAAGTCATTAGTTAAATCCATAAATATTTGGATTTCTGTCACAGGGAAATGATCCGAAGAATATGGGAGAAATGTAGAATAAAGACCAAGCTTTCACAAAATGTGAAAAATATTTTGAAGTCATTTCGGGTGTCATTAGTTTCCAATTTTCTTTTTTTTTCAATCAGTAACTTATTTTTCTAATAAAAACAGTTTTTACAGATTTAGATTTTTTTCTGTCTATTTTAGCTTTACAACTTTTTCAATACCATGTTGAGCCAAATGGACACAGATGATATTGGACAGCCTAAGATTCTCCGAGCTCTGTCTGTGTCACAAAGACCAGCAAAAATTGGTAAGTTTTACCAGCCCAACTTTACTTATCAATTCCTTATTATAGACATAGAGTTGAACACTTCAAACAATCAATTAATTATCAAAATACAGTTATGTACATGTAGTTAAGAAGATAAGTAAAACTTTATTACACCCTGCCATGAATATGGTCAGGGCAAATTGTGTTTGTCATGTCTGTCTCTCTCCTTCTGTCTGTCCTTCCATCACACTGCATTTTGCTCAGTTAAAAAAAAAAAAGATTCAATATATTTTATCAAACTTGATATGCTGATATATATTGATGAGAGCTATTCAACTGCATCAACATTTTTTTACCTTGACCTTTTCTTTGACCTTGACCTTACTTTTCAAAAATTTGTGTTTAGCTCAGTTTCAAAGAAATTATTCAAGATAGTCTTACCAAACCTTACATTCAAACATATTGATGAGAACTATTTAACTTCATCAACACTTTCTGACCTTGTCCCTTCCTTGACTGTGACCTCACTTTTCAGAAATTTATATTTAGCTCAGTTTCAAAGAAACTATTCAAGATATTTTTATCAAACCTGATAATGTGATTACATATTGATGAGAGCTTTTCAATTTCATCAACATTTTTTGACCTTGACCTCACTTTTCTTAGATGTGTTTAGCTATGTTTCAAAGAAACTATTTAAAATATTTTTATCAAACTTCATATGCTTAGGTTCATATTGATGAGAGTTAACTGCTATTCAACTGAAAAATATTGTCTTTGGCCTTTCCTTTGACCTTGACCTCACTTTTCTTAAACTAATGTTTTGCTCAGTTTCAAAGAAACTATTCAAGATATTTTTATCAAACCTTATATGCTGATACATATTGGTGAGAGGTGAAGTGAAAAATTCTTGAGAGGGACTTAAAACAACAAATTAAACAAACAAACAAAGAAAACCTTTATGTACATGTATATTTGCACCATTGACATTTTTATGTACTTTAAATTTTTAGCACTTATTTTTATGCCCTGCCATGAATATGGCCGGGGCATATAGTGTTTGTCATGTCCGTCTTCCATCCTTCTGTCACACTTTGCATTTAGCTCTGTTCAAAGCTCAGTTTCAAAGAAACTATCCAAGATATTTTTAACAAACTTCATATGCTGATACATACTGATGAGAGCTATGCAACTGCATCAACATTTTTTGACCTTGACCTTTCCTTTGACCTTGACCTCACTTTTCTTAAATTAGAATTTACCTCAGTTTTAAAGATACCATTCAAGGTAGTGTAATCAAACTTCATATGTTGATACATACTGATGTAAGCTATTCAACTGCATCAACATTTTTTGACCACCTTTCTTTTGACCTTGACCTCACTTTTCTTAAATTAGTGTTTAGCTCAGTTTTAATTAAACCATTCAAGATATTTTTAACAAACTTCATATGCTCAAACATACTGATGTAAGCTATTCAACTCACAGGCACTTGTTTCGTATATGGGGCACCCCTACTTATTTTTTTACCACAAGGTACCTAACTCAATTTCAGGCACCCCCACTTCAAGCTCGTATTTTGTTTATATATCAATCATTAACCTACTTTAAAATGACATCGTTCGCTTCGAAAGACTTTTTTCTTGTCAAATTAATCGTTTTGGGCATTTCTGGTCGAACCTCTTTATTGTAAACCATTCATTTCTTCCTCGAAAATTATCTCGATACAAAATAAGACTTCGAATGGGATACATAGACTTCCGGTTGGGTTATAAATGAAGGATAAAACAAGAGACCTCGGAAAGGAATACTCGTAAGTCTCTGGATTTATAAACAAAATACGAGCTTAAAGCGGGGGTGCCTGAAATTGAGTTAGGTACCTTGTGGTAAAAATAAGTAGGGGTGCCCCGTATATGAAACAAGTGCCTGTGATTCAACTGCATCAACATTTTTTGACCTTGACCTCACTTTTCTTAATTAGTGTTTAGCTCAGTTTTAAAGATACCATTAAAGAAAGTGTTATCAAACTTTATATGCTGATACATACTGATGAGAGCTATTCAACTGCATCAATATTTTTTGACCTTGACCTTTCCTTTGACCTTGACCTCACTTTTCTAAATTAGTGTTTAGCTCAATTTTAAAGAAACCATTCATAATATTTTTATCAAACTTCATATTATGCTAATACATACCGATGTAACCTTTTCAACTGCATCAACAATTTTTGACCTTGACTTTCCTATGACCTTGACCTCACTTTTCTTAAATTAGTGTCAAACTTCATTTGCTGTTACATACTGATGTAAGCTATTCAACTGCATCAATATTTTTTCATCTTGACCTTTCCTTTGACCTTGACCTCATTTTCCTCAATTTGTGTTTAACTCAGTTGAAAAGAAATCATTCATAATATTTTTATCTAACTTCATATGCTAATACATACTGATGTAACCTTTTCAACTGCATCAACATTTTTTGACCTTGACCTTTCCTTTGACCTTATCTTCATTTATTTTAAATTAGTGTTTAGCTCAGTTTTAAATAAACCTTTCAAAATATTTTTATCAAACTTAATATGCTGATACGTATTTATGAGAACTATTCAACTGCATCAAAAATGTTTGATCTTGAACTTTTCTGAGACCTTGACCTCACTTTCCTAAATTTGCATTTTTCTTAATTTTGAAGAAATCATTTAAGATATATTTATGTAAGCTTATGCACTTACACATAATTTGGTGAGAATTTATCATCTATATCCAACTTTTTAGATTTCAATTTTAAAGAAACTATTCAAAATATTCTCATCAAATTTCATACACTAATATTTACATTCCCAATGTCTTTGTCTGAGACAAAATTACAAATTGTAAAAATTCTTTATTTCTACATAAATCTACTGGTTCATCGATAGGCGGGGTTAGAAAAAATCACGTGCGGGGCAGGACAAATAGACACAGAAGCGGGGCTATTAGCACGGGAATTTGCAGAATCAGGAGCATGTAAATATAAGGAATAACTCAGATTTTTTGGATTCATGACGATGGTCAATCGATTGGCTTGCATGATAATTTTATGCATAAACGCCTTCGCTGTTTATGCAAATTATCACGCAAGCCACTCGATTGATCACATCATGAATCCAAAAAATTAGACAGTTATTCCTTAAATGCAAATTTTCATGTTGCAGTACTAATATACCCTCGGCGGGGCATTCATGACCTTTGGACAAAGCTATAAGTGTAAAATTTAGAAATATAAAAATTAATATATTAAGCATTTTGGCTCAAATTTACAAAAATACTTGTAAATCGACAGAAAACTTCCCAGATTTATGATATCACATAGGAATAAAGTAGAAATGAGAAACTGAATGTGTTTTGAGCATTCCCTGATACTAAAAATACAGTCATCTAGTGTTGTTAATGTGAATGTCATCTAATATTAAAGAAGAGATCTAGGTGACAATATCAATTTACATGTTCTGTATACCTGACAAATGTCTTTTATCCAAGTCTGCAACTGTGAATATTTAATGGGATTTTGTACTTTGAGACACAAAGATGGTTCACAGCTGTGAAATCAACAATTTTGCTCATTTATTGATGTGTTAGGCATCACACTCAAAATTAGCATCATTTTCAAACACAAGGAACAGGTCCTTTCCCTTTCAACCTCAGAAATAAAGTTTTCCAACTGTGGCCTTTCACCTTTTTAACATAAAGAAAGCCATAAAATATTCTTCTCTAGAAAAATCATTAGACATGACTTGATGTCATTGTGTAAAGTTTTATTTTGCACATGAAAAAAAAGGCAAAATGAGGAGGATCATTCCCCTCTCAAAAGAAAGCTACAACTATAATTTAGTAACTCTTTGACTTAGTCATTTCAAATATTTTCTCTTGAACTATCCAACCAGATGTATCACTGTTTGTGAAACAATCTTGAATGATGGAATTTCCAGTTAAGATTATGGCCCTTAGGGTAAGGATCGAAGTTTCTGAATGGAGTGGGGAAAAAAGGTGGACACAGGATTCTTTTTACAAGCATGACATATTCCAAGTCATTGTTGCAGCCCATGGGCCTATTGTTCATTAAAACTATATTAATTGCAAGCAATACCAGTAGGTATTTCTTTCAACTACATGCATGTATGTTATAAGAGAATGTGCTATGTTCTTAAGATACCAAAACCTTAGAGGAAGAGGACTATGTACTGTTGAAGAAGAGCGATCCAGACTCTATTGAAGTGGAGTCCTCTTATCGCGGAGTCCATCTCACATTTCCACTTACACAAGCTCAACTACAGAGCCTTATCAACTCCTTCAAAACCAAGCAGGTATACACATATTAGGTCTCACAGAGCTTAACTATTGCACCAGGCCCCAGGGTCATGAAACAGACTAAGATTTAAGTCAAATTTTCAATCGCCTGTAATATGTTTATTAATTATTGAATCAATTTCTAAATTTGCATATAACAACACTTTTGTAAAGCAATGTTGAAAAATATTTAAATTTTGATGTGCTTGACTTCTACAACATTCTAGTACAACATAAACGTTTTGACTTAAGCTTAAGATATTTCATGATCCTGGGGCCTGATTACTCATTTAAAATATAAACAGGTACATGTAAGACATGCTACAAAAATGAAAATGAACTCTTTCAAAATCAAGCAGGTACATTCATGTCTCACAGAGCTTAGCACTAGCACATAGAAAACCTTCCCAAAAACCACTGTGCCACAAAAGATTAAACATAAAAGAAAGGTTTTTGAGCATATGGAGAAAAAAATCTATAAAAAATCTGTCAAGAACAGATGGGCCATGATTAGTCATATTAACATAAAATTAATATAGTAGCATCCTTAGATAGTGCAGATTGAAGTTTGTTCTAATATGGCCCCAGGGGGTAGGGTGGGGCCACAAAAGGGGATCAGAGTTATACATAGGAGTATTTCAGAAATAAATCTTTAAAAATCTTCTTCTCAAGAACAGAAGGGGCCATTTTTAATCATATTTACATGCAAGCATTCTCAGGCAATGCAGATTGAAGTAAGTGCAAATTGTGGCTCCTGGGGATAGAATGGTCCACACAGGGGGTAAAAGTTTACATGGGATTATGTAAGAAAAAAAATCTTATAAAAATCGACTTTTTTTCATTAGTTCTTTAATAACTAGATATAGTGACCCAAGTTCATTCACAAAACTATACTACAAACAGCTAACTTCCATAGAATGTATGCTACACAGACAATAGACAGAGCCTAGTTGATCACACTTATCAGTCGACAGCTTGCTTTTTAGCTCTACTGGTCAGAGACCAGAAGACCTAATGGGACAGTAACATGTCTGTCATCTGTCTGTCTATCTGTTCGTCTGTTTGCCTGTAAACAGTTATTCAAAATGCTACTCCTCCTACAGTTTTCAATATAACTTGGCACACACAAGTAGACTATACTAAGATACTTAATTCTATGTATCAGCCATGGTTACTAAAAATAGAAATATCTTTGAAATACTTTCAAAACACTTCCCCTCTTACAGTTTTGGTCTGATTTCAATTTTACTTGGTGCACAAGTAGACTACACTATGATACATAATTCTTTATACTGGTTTTTGATTTCAAGATTAAAGCAAGGATCATTATTCTAATTTATTACTTTTGAATAGTTTCAATTAAGTTCCTTTGATAAAAGTTTGAACCAGTAGAGCTACAGTCTCATCAGAGATTTCTGGTTCCATTCTAAACTGCAGTCAGGCAGGAGAATTCGGATTACAAGATGCAACTATTTGTTTTAATTGATGTATCAGTTATTCAGTTATGTGCTCAGAAACTTATGTGTATAGATTGTAATTTTCCCAAGTACTTTATATTAAGAGAACCATAGGCCACATCTGTATTACCTTAATTCTTATGGAAAAATTCATCATTGCAGCATCACTGATTTCTTTCAGCCACTGCATGCCAAATACCTGATTCAACTTTTACTTGAGACTCGCACTGCATTAAAGCAAAAAGCCAATATTAACTATGCCACTACCTCAATCTCAAAGCAAATAACAGTCTGTGGAGATCTTCATGGGAAACTTGATGATCTCTACATGATTTTTCACAAGGTAAAGTAATTCATCCAAACTATGGAAATAAAATATTTTCACATGAATGACTAAGTTGAAGTTTATGAAGCAGGTTCATTCCCAAGTAACTATAGGTCCAGTATTTGACTATTTGATTTCTTTTACTCATAAATAATATTTGTCCAGATGAGCTTTGTAATTTTTAATTGCATTTTTTTGTACCCAGGAAGTTTTAGATGAATGGAGTGAATCGTGTTGTCTTTCTGTTTACATGAGCAATCATATGTTCTGGAATAACTTTATTATGATCTAAGGATATATCAAAACCTTTATCCAAGGTCATTTGGGAAACATCAGGGTAAATGTCAGAAAAATTGTAAAGTTTGTGTCCAGAGTGTAACTTTGAAATATTGGAAACTCCTACTTGCACCATTAAGACTTGTGGCTAAGGACCTGATGTTATGACATTTAGGGTTCATAATCCCTCTGTTTGCTCACATAAAATTTTGCTTTAACACTAAAAATTTCCCCTACGAATCTATTTTATTAGTAAAATCTACACAATTTCAGCATACTTTGTGGGACAAAATTTTACAGAAATTGCTTTTTTAGCTCACGTGAGCCAAAGGCTCAAGTGAGCTTTTCTGATCAAAATTTGTCCGTTGTCTGTCGTCGTTGGCGTCGTCGTCGTTGGCGTAAACTTTTCACATTTTCATCTTCTTCTCCAGAACCACTGGGCCAATTTCAATCAAACTTGGCACAAAGTATCCTTGGGTAAAGGGGATTCAAGTTTGTTCAAATGAAGGGCCACTCTCTCCTCAAAGGGGAGATAATTACGAAATAGCAAAAAATTAATGGCATTATTGAAAAATCTTCTTCTCAGGAACCAATGGACCAGGAAAGATGAAACTCATATGGAATTATTGTCAGGTAGTGTAGATTCAAGTTTGTTCAAATCATGACCCCGGGGGTAGGGTGGGGCCACAATGGACGATCAAAGTTTTACATAGGAATATATAGGAAAAATCTTCAAAAATCTTCTTCTCAAGAACAGCAAAGCTACGATTGGTCATATTTATGTGGAAGCATCCTCATGTGGTGTAGATTCCAGTTTGTTCAAATCATGACCCCCGGGGGTAGGGTGGGGCCACAATGGACGATCAAAGTTTTACATAGGAATATATAGGGAAAATCTTCAAAAATCTTCTTCTCAAGAACAGCAAAGCCATGAATGGTCATATTTATATGGAAGCATCCTCATGTGGTGTAGATTCCAGTTTGTTCAAATCATGACCCCCGGGGGTAGGGTGGGGCCACAATGGACGATCAAAGTTTTACATAGGAATGTGTAGGAAAAATCTTCTTCTCAAGAACAACAAAGCTATGATTGGTCATATTTATATGGAAGCATCCTCGGGTGGTGTAGATTCAAATTTGTTCAAATCATGACCCCCGGGGGTAGGGTGGGGCCTCAATGGATGATCAAAGTTTTACATAGGAATATATAGGAAAAAATCTTCAAAAATCTTCTTCTCAAGAACAGCAAAGCTTTGATTGGATATATTTTTTTGAAAGCATCCTCAGGTAGTGTAGATTCAAGTTTGTTCAAATCATGACCTCCGGGGGTAGGGTGGGGCCACAATGAACGTTCAAAGTTTTATATTGGAATATATAAGAAAAACCTTTAAAAATCTCAAGAACAGCAAAGCCACAGTTTGTAATATTTATATGGAAGCATCCTCAGATAGTGTAGATTCAAATTTGTTCAAATCATGACCTCCAGAGGTAGGGTGGGGCCACAGTGAAAGTTCAAACTTGTAGAGAAAAAAGTCACAGTTAGTCAAAAAATTATGTAAGCAGTGTAGATTTAATTTTGTTCAAGTTATACCCCCCCCCCCAATCCCTTTTAGGGGTAGGTTGGGACCATTTATGCATTTAAGCATTTCAATACTAAACTGATTTTTCCTTTTTTCCTGGCCACAGTGCTCAGGTGAGCGATGTGGCCCCTGGGCCTCTTGTTTCTCTAGTGAGAGTTATCTTGCTTATCAGAGGAGCTCATAGTGGCAAACAAAATTGCTTACCTCAGTTATAAATGAATGTGTGCCTCAATTTGACCTTGTTGAGGATTATCTGGACAAGTACAAGGTCAATAGAATAGTTCATATTTGTGACATCTTTGATTTATTTGTGTTTCTCTGTTATAATAGCTTTTTCTCTAATCTGTAACCTATTGATCATTTTCTAATTCTTGCATTAAAACAATCTTGAGTAAGGCTTTATATATATTCCTGTCTGTTCAAATGAAGAGCCAAGTTCCCTTTACAGAGTGGGAATGGAGAAATATATAGGTAGAAAATCAAAATTTCTGTTCAGGATAGGACAGTGGTAGGTCAAGATTTTTACATAGGAATTATAAGATAAAGTCCTCATTTCAAGAATCAGTCAGTCATTAAGCATGCCTTCTCAGGTAATGTAGATTCAAATTTTCAGTCATGCCCATTTCCTCCACTTGACCTGGATGGGGCACAATAGGGTCACTGATTTTTTTAATAATTGTTTCCAAGAAGATTTGAAGTTTGCTCATCACAGAGTTGCTTTTATCTTCAGGATGATGGATGATTCATTTACAAAATCAAGCATTTTTTATGCCTTCATAATCGAAGATTTGTGGGTATATAGTTTTTGCCCTATCTGTCCATCTGTCTGTTTGTCCGTTTTTCCACAAAAACTTTAACCTTGCCAATATCATTTGATTGGTTGAAGCTATGGCTTTCATATTTCACATGTGTATTCCTTGTAACAAGACCTTCCTTTGGAAACTAACATATTTAACCTCTTGACATTGGAGTTTGACCTGCTCTGGCAAAAATTTATCCAACTTTAACCTTGCATGCCCATAACTTTTGAACAGTTGGTGCTAGAGCTTTCATACTTAAGGGAGCTGACTGGGGTTTTATTCTGTGAAACTACTATAGAGAAACTCTTTAATTTTATACCATATGTACCTTACATTGACTTCACTATACATGCCAAGTTTAGTGAAAATCTACCATCTGGTTATTTTTAGGGACCATCTCAAAATACCGGTACATTTACTATAGGATCATATAGGAAAATACCATTTTTTCGCACTTCGGAGCAAATTATACAAATGCTACTATAGATTTTTTGCTCAAATTATATTATTTGATGACTAATACTATTTTGTACATTTTATGCAAGAAACACAAATTTCTACCGTCTGGTTTCCAGAGGGGGCATCTCAAAATGTCAAAATTCATGATATTTTCCTGTTTTTATGGAGTACTACAAAACATGACAGATACCACAGATTTACGTAAAAAATAATAAGAATGATTGTGATATTCTCAATTTCTTATGTTTAAAATTTCAAGAGCATCTATTTTATACTTTTTATTTTATGACGTAATCAGTGATCTCTCTTAAAGAACTTTGGTTATTCATAACGTCAAAACCACACTATTCCGACATCTATCTACCCATCATTTGAAAAATTGTTTTAAAAATCAGTTATTTAAAATCGTAATTAGAATTTTTAACCTTAGATTTCCTAAATTTGTAAATTTTTATAAATTTTGTGAAAATAGTTGCTTAAAAAGAGTAAATAAGCTTCGTTTTACTATGCTGTGGGAAGTATTGCACAATGAAAACCCCAGTCGGCCCACTTAATATTATGTGCGGCATGGTATTATGTAGTGTGTTCGAAAAGTTTCTTTGAAAGTCACGTGGTTATATAAGGTATAAATAGTAAGGCCATGCGGTAGCATGGCACTCTAAGCTCGCTTGCTAGGATTTAGAGATTAGTATAGCAGATAGTGATGCAATGGAGTGCAATGAATTTGGGCTTTACAGTTGTATTAGTTGATGTGTTATGGTTATGTGTTAGCAGTATATAATTGAATAAAAGCACTAGCGAGCAGCGTTCCTAATTAATATGTGTTGTTTTTTATTCATTTAGCACTTCATTGATTTATATTCGGATGAACGAAGTGAGGGAGAATATAATTTACATTTGTATTCCTTGTGATAAGACCTCTCCTTGGGTACAATAATTTTTGACCTTTTGACCTTGACCTTACTTATGTTTGACATAACTTTTGAACAGTTGGTTCAAGGACTTTCATATTTCATATGTATATTCCCAGTGGCCTGACCTTTCTTTGGGTACCAACAATTTTGACCTTGACCTTGGAGTTTGACCGACTTTTGGAAAGCTTTAACCTTGGCTGTTACTTTTGAACAGTTGGTGCTAGGGCTTTCATGTTTCACATGTGTATTCCTTGTGACAAGATTTTTCCTTGGGTACCAACAATTTTTGACCTTTGACCTTGGAGTTTGACCTACTTTTCAGAAACTTTATCCTCAGTCATAACTTTTGAACAGTTGGTGCTAGAGCCTTCAAATTTCACATATGTATTTCTTGTAATAAATCCTTCCTCAAGATTCCAATAGTTTTTACCTTTTTATCCTTGACCCTGAAGTTTGACCTACTTTTGACAAACTAACCTTGGCCATAACTTTTGAATCGTTGGTGCTAGGACTTTCATATTTCACATGAATATTCCTTGTGATGAGACATTTCCATCACCATTAATTTTGACCTTGGAGTTTGACCTATTTTGAAAAAACTTAAACCTTGGCCATAACCTTTGAATGGTTGGTGCAAGGTCTTTCATCTTTCATAAGTGTATTCCTTGTGTCAAGTCCTTTCTTTGGGTACCAACATTTTTAATCTCTTGACCTTGGAGTTTGATTTGTATTTGAGAAACTTGAACCTTCGCAATGAGCTTAACCCTTACCATGGGCTGTCATATGGGGACATCAGTGTTTTACAAACTTATCTTGTTTCTATTAAAATGAATAACTATTTCTGTATTATTCAGGCCATTTGAATTTCCATCATTTAATGAATGTTTATTTGTCAAGAATTAAATTTTTGTGTTACTTACCAGTATAAACATGACTGTAAATGAATTTGAATTTTAACATTTTCCTTCAATATTTCTTTTTTTCAGAATGGTCTTCCGTCTGTGCACAACCCTTATATATTCAATGGAGATTTTGTGGACAGGGGCCGTAACTCTGTAGAAATTGCTGTGATTCTTTTTGTATGCTTTCTAATCAACAAAAATGAAGTTTATCTTAACCGTGGTAACCATGAAGATCATGTGATGAACCTAAGGTATTTTTATTATCCCCCCCCCCCCCCTTTTGGAAAAAGAGGGCATATTGGTTTCCACCTGTTTGATGGTTGGTATGTTGGTCTGTCAGTTGGTCAATAGATCAAGTGTTGTCCAATCAATATTTTAAGAACCCCTTAATTGACAGATATCAAACTTATTTCACATGTAACCAATGATGAGTAGATGACCCTAATTGATTTTAAATTCATGGGTCAAAGGTACAGGGTCAAAATACTCTTAACATAGGAAAATATTGTCTAATCATTATCTTCACAACTATTTAATTTGCTGACAGATATCAAGCTTGGTACCTTTGACTACACTGGACATAGGAAGATATCTTGAGGACCATTTTTGCTTGACAGGCATCAAATCTTGTACATTGGTACCCTCTAAGAATTAAATTACCCTAAAGGATATCAAGCTCTGATAAACATAATTAATAGTATTGTTTGTCTCAGGCTAGTAGATAAGCATTTTTTTACTATCATTACAGACATTCTCATTTTAAAGTTGATCCTTCTAAAATTGCCTCATGGGGGGGGGGGGGGGGGGTAAGCGTAAGTGTAAGTGTTTCCAAAACATTTCTTGTCTATAAATGTATGAGTGTCTATTTGACATAGACATGTTAGCTTATTAACTCGACTTGTTAACTCAATATTTTAACTTTTTGTTGGCAAGCTGTAAACTACAGCCAAATTGAGCCTGTTATCTGAATTATTCCAGATGGAAATGTCACATTTTTCATATGATTGATGGATTAAATAACTAGTGGATCAAGATTCCAAAGTTATGTCCCAAAATTCAGATGTCTTTTTCAGAAATTAAATTACTTGTAATTAACTGTGTCATCATAGCATTCTTTAAGTTCACAGCTGGCAGAAGTTCACATCTGTTCCAAGCTGCATCTCATCTCAAATGATATGTTGTTGTTTATAGCATAGTATATTATATAGACCATCTAAAATTTATTTTAAAACATAAATGCCAAGTATTGTCCCTGTAATTTTGTTGAAATACAACCTCTGGCTGTTAAATCTTATTGTAAAGATTGAAATGTATACATATTCAGGGATTTTTGTTTTGACAATACAGTCGACTAAGCACCTTCCAGTTGTTATTGTTCTATAACTGTCAATCATCAGGTCTTTATGTTGAATTTTTGAATTAGTTGATTTCATATTACCAAAGAATATTCCATTAAACACATAATCCCATTCTAAAAGGCAATTTAGAATTGAAAACAATATTGATATAAAACATGCCAATAAATCATTCTCTTTTTCAGATATGGTTTTGTTAAAGAGCTGGTGAAAAAATACTCTGTAAGTGTTGAATGCTTTTCAATAATATTTTCCTGGAAATAATTATGTGGAAGTAGTTTTATACATGTATTGTGTAGATTCAGACTCAAACTGTGGTCATCAGATAGAGATTTGAAATAACTAATGTGTGATCTGTAAAAGCGAAATGAGTGCTATTTAGCCATGAGCTTCTGTTATATGTGTTTAAAATGTTCAACTGAATTGCAAAGCAAAATCAGGTCAATTGATTAGGTGTCCGTCTGTCTCAAAAATTTTGTTAGCTGTTCGCGTCAATTTATCATTGTGATATGTGTCCTATTCAAAGAATTTCTTCAAGTTTTGCACAAAAGATGATCAAAAAGAGGTGATTTAGATAATGCCATTGAGATTGATATTGACCTTTGACCTTGACATTAAACCAACAAAATCATATGTAGTAAAGTGACTATGTATCAACTTGATTTGACCTTGACTTTTTCATTTGACATTAAGATTAGTAAATAATAATATTTCTGTCAAAGAAGGTTTCTTAGGATCATTATCTTCAGTTTCCCATGTAGTTAAATGAAACTGTGGTTGAATAAGGGTGATAATACCATTGAAATTTGTATTAAGGAGGAGAAGGACACATGGTCATATGACTCTGTTTAACTACGTCATAGTCTCCGTTTATGTAAGAGCAAAGCGTGTAAAGCATCAGTTCTTGTATAATTTTTTGGCATTTTTTTTAAACTTTAATAACCATCTTATATGAAAAAAATAAAAGTTTTAAAATTCTTGTAAACATTAACAAATAATGAAAAAGATTGATCCACTCCTCTGTTTCCCTAAACTGTGCATCCAGCAAGTCGGTGACGTCATACACGATCTGTTAGTACAGCAAGATCATACTCAGTGAATACAGGGGCGTTGTTACTTTGTGAAAACAGGTCTTAATCAGTATATGATAAAATATTCTGAGACACGGGGAATACAAAAATTATTTTTGCATGGCTGATGACAGAAATCTTATGTAGGTATATCTTATTTCGCTTATTTAGCTTACATGTGACGTCATAGTTGGTTTTTCCTGTACTCAAGAAATGTAAACATGACATGTTTTTGTCATGCTTATGTCCTCTTTAACGATGTCCTGTGCAATATTGAGGTCAGCTTCACCATTCGAAATTTTTACAGTTAATCAATAATTTGAAGGACTTACATTTCAACGTAAATTTAAAAATATTGAATGATAGAATTTTTGGTAAATTACGTTTTTTGTTGTTAAAGTTGTCTTAAAAAGTACGTAATTTTCGCTATCCAGATGTAGTGTGATAGAAGAAACTTGCTTTTTCGAATTTTAAACCCTATTCATACTATGAAATATTTTAAAAGATACATGTCCACTTACATATTTTTTATCTTTGCTTAAAAATTCCCATTATGGACAGAGTAATGGGCCCAGAAACATGGAGAACTAAAACTCTACTTAGATACTGTAGGGCATAGTATTTGTCAATCAATATCTCTAAAATAAGGTAAGAAACCTAATGATATAACTGCTTTAAGATATGTGGAACATACTTAATAAGAAATATACAAAATATGAAAAAAATTGAATGACAGGTATTTTTTCAGCTCAAGGTCCTTCTTCCCCTTAAAGTGAATTGAGATGTTTTTAATAATGCTTTTAAAGTCAACCTAAGCCTTGACATTGATCTTGAAACATAAATGAAAAGGCTGCAAACTCTGTTGTGGATATCATGTCATAACTGCTATCTTCAAATTTCATGGATAGGTACATTATGTACATGTAAATTAGAATGTGACATTGTTGAAGACCAAGTTTTTTGTTGACTTGTTTCTGTTTCAATTTGCATAGTTTCTGTTTCAATTTGCATAATAAACAGGTTGTTTAGGGCTGATAACAAAATTTGAAGATCTGATTGTATTAAACATTTGATGCGTCAAAATCTTATCTTTATGATGATTTCTTTTTTTTTTTCTTCTAATTTTTGAGACTAGATACATGCAAGCAAAGTCATCCACCTGTTTGAGGATGTTTTTAGTTGGTTACCAATAGCAACTATTGTTGACTACAAAATTCTTGTTGTACATGGTGGTGTATCAGACACCTTGGATCTCAATTTCCTGGCAACCATAGATAGGCACAAGGTATATTAAAAAAATTGTCTGTTTTACTTTTCCGAAAAAAAAATTTCTTGTACAGAGGTATTAATTGCCTTTGTAAAACCACGAGGTGAATTTTTGTATGCCCCGTCATGAATATGGCCAGGCATATAGTGTTTGTATTGTCCCTCTTTCCATTCTTCCATATTTCCGTCTGTCTGTCAATCAGACTTTGCATTTAACTCAGATTCAAAGAAAATATTCAAGATATATCAATCCTTATATGCTGATACATATTCATGAGAGCTATTGAAATGCATCAACTTCATTTACCTTGACCTTTCCTTTGACCTTGACCTCACTTTCATAAATATGTGTATTGCTCAGTCTCAAAGAAACTATTCAAAATTTTTTATCAAACTTCATGTGCTGATATGATGATGAGAGTTATTCAACTGCATCAACATTCTTGGACCTTGACCTCTCCTTTGACCTTTTTCTCACTTTTCTTAAATTTGTGCTTAGCTCAGTTTCAAAGAAACAATGGTACTCAAGATATTTTTATCAAATTTGATATGCTGATACTTATTGATGAGTTCTATTCAACTGTATCAACATGTTTTTACCTTTAAGTTCCTTTTACCCTGACCTCACTTCTTTTAAATTTATGTTAAGTTTTAGTTTCAAAGAAACTATTCAAGATATTTTTATCAACTTTCATAGGTTGATATAAATTAGTGAGAACTGTTCAACAGTTACGGTGTAAAAAAAACTTTGACCTTAACTTTCCTATTCACCTTGACTCCACTTTTCTTAAATTTGCATTTAGCTCACTTTCAAAAAAACTTATCAAGATATATTTAAACTTCATATCAGCAGATACATATTGGTGAGAGCTATGCAACTGTATCAACATTTTTGGACTTTGACCTCTATGACCTCGACTTTACTGTTCTTGAATTTGTCTCAGCTCAGTTTCAAAGAAACTTTTTCAAGATATTTTTTCAAAGCACATTTACTGATACGTACAGGGTGTTTCTGAAAACATGCAACCATTTTGGTTGACTACGTTTTATTCATGTTTCATCGAAAACCATCCATTAACATATTAAATTAAAAGGCACAATTTCAAAATTTATTGTGATGAGGTGTGTTTTATAAACTATAACCTTTAAATGTCCCAAAAAATAAACGCCATGGGGGGTTAAGTGAGGTGAATGTCGAAGCCAAATGATTTTGGGATTTGGCAGAGAAGAATATAGTCCTCCAAACATTTGTTTCAAACAGAAAACAAATTTCAAATATGTAAGATTCAAATCATATTTCAGAATCCAAATATACATGTACACTTGACTTTTCATTTTTGAGTTGCATTCGTTTACAAGGTCACTTGTTTTACATAAGGATTATATGCAAGTCCCTGAATCAATGTCTCTAACATTCTCAATGTTTTCATGTGTTCTATTGTTTTCGTTCTTCTAATTTTTCCTTTTCTTTAATAATTTACATTCCAAAATTCATAATTTTTTGCAGTTTTGTACAACTTCAACTTTTTTATTAAGTTCTTTGCATTCTGGATACCCTTTTATATTGTCCTAAGTATTCACAGGAACTAGCGACATGCTTTGATAAAACAGTGTCAAAATTCCTGATGATTGCTCTTTATAAAAAAAATTACATATTCAGAATGATATAACCTGTTTTTCGATGATGTCAAATATGACGTCATAATTAATTTAAATGATAATTATTTCCAAAATTTTTGTTATCAATAAAATTTTAAGCCTATTTTCTATAATTTTAATTAAAACTTTTATATATTTCTGCTTGCATATCAATACAGTGAGGAAAGCAAATGGTTGCATGTTTTCTGAAACACCCTGTATTGGTGGGAACCTTATCAATTGTGTTCAATTTTTTTTTTACCTTGACCTTCCCTATGACCTATGACTTTAGTATTTGTTGTGTTTACAACTCAGTTTCAAAGAAACAATTCAAGATATTTTCATCAAACTTCATACACTACTCAAATTGGAAAGAGCTATTCAACTCTGTCATAATTTTCTGACCTTAACCTTCCCTGTGACCTTGACCTCACTATTCCTCATTTATCCTAATCTTAAGGAAAAAAAAGACAAGGTACATTTCTTTTCATGTTGCATTTGTAATGAACCCTGGATGGGGCATTCATGTCCTATGGACATATATCTAATGAAAGAAAGAACTTGTTAAATAACAAGTAACACTATGTAAGAGAGTATTCCAAGTTTCTAGGAGGCATGGTCTTAAGTTTCTTGAAGACATGACCCCCTGGGGCTAGGATTTGAGTCATAATAGTTCAAATTTGTACATAAAAAGAGCTAGGTTCACTTTATGCATAAAATGGCCCTGTAGATAAACCGATTTATCCACTAACACACTATGTACCTTTCTCTATATCAATATAAAGTACAGACTTTGCGCTTACAGTTTGTATATAAAAGTTTCCTCTAAAGAGTCCAGGTACTGGAAAACAGGTTTTGTGAAATTGCAATGTTTTTGAAATTTGCAGAAAACAAGTGAAAGAACCTTCAGCAAAGAATTAAAATATGAGCACACCCCTCGATCCAAAAATTAAAGTATGTTTTATAATCTTAATGAGCATTTCTTTCATAACATATTCGCACATTTTGGATCGGAGGTTGTGCTGTATACGAAATATTGAAAAATAGCATCATATTTTGGCCATTTTTGAAAAAAATATACGGGAAATGTGAATAATGACGCCATTCATGACGTCATAATGCATTGATTAGCAAGAAAATTACGTCATTTTTAGTAGAAATTCAGTCAACAAGTGTCCAAGTGATATTTATTGCCTTGTCGACTAAAACTATGCAGTTTTAATTTTTCAGAGATTTACAGGGCCAAAAAAGGCCCTAAGTGGCCCTTGCTCTTTGTAGGAAAATATTCTACAGAACAGTAATGACAAAATTACAATAGTAGAACTTTGCATTACTATATCATGCAGTACAAATTCATCTGTCATGCCACAGGGTATTTAAATATGTCATTATGATTGAAATTACGATGGCCGACAGCGGCCGCCACTTTTGATTCTAAATATTGTCATTTTGTACAGCTTTTTTGTCAATTTTCATTGACAAATTACAACTAAACTAGTAATGCTATATGTCCATATACAGTTTTTACACTGACAATTTACACTGGAGAAAATCATTAAAATTCTTTCTTGTGATATGAAATGAAGATACATAAAACAGGTTACTTGAAGGTGATAAGCTTAAGGTTCTAGCAGAACAGCAAGGTCGGGGTGATTACAGATTAGTATTGTCTTCTAGATATGCTTTCTCGACAGATTGTAGTAATTAATTCATAAAATTCCATGTTGGTGTACCTGCTGGTCACATCATAGGTAACCAGGATGAAATTTTCCAGGTCTATCAGAAATTTGATTTTGTTCATAATTGGACGTGTCTTTGATGTATGAATTTTGTTTTTTAAACAATGCGCATGAGGAAATGATCACATTAGTTACATGTACCTATATTTTCATTCCCGTGCCACATTAAAAAATAATTAGCCGACCAGGTGGAAGTCTTGAGAGGTTGCGTTGGCCTTTAAAAGTGTTTCAAGCATTTAGTTATTAATTTTATGTATTTAGGGAGCAAATACAGACTCCCACATTTAAGGTTGCTTAAAAACGGGTATATTTCCGTATCTAAAGTTTTGTTTTTGATACATTCCATAAACTTTTGATTGGATGCTCACATGTAGAGCTACTTAGTCCTGTTTTTCTACCTCTACATAATAGGTAGTATCGAGTTGTCTCATACAATCTGAGGATCGAGATATATCCATTATATTCATGTATATCCATTACAACAAACGTATTACTTTTATTCGCCTTTTTAATTACAATCCCAAGAATATCTTTTTAATGATACAACAAGGTGACAGAATGACGATTTACGTCTAATCTAGGATTAACTGGGTTACGATATCTCAGACTAATTGAGGGTGAAAATCACTAAAATGCTCCTTATCTCTTTCAAGCCACCTGTTTTATGTATCTTAATTTCATATCACACGAAAGAATTTTAATGTTTTTTGCTGGTGTAAATTGTCAGTGTAAAAAGTGTACATGTATATATAGCATTACCAGTTTAGTTGTAATATGTCAACGAAAATTGACAAAAACGCTGTACAAAATGACAATATTCTTAATCAGAAAGTGGCGGCCGCTGTCGGCCATCGTAATACATTACTGTAAACATAGTGTATACAGGGTTATTTTTGCCTCATCTTATTTTAACCCTTTCACACCTGCAAACAATTTTGCCCTGTTTTGAATTCACTCAGATACAATTCTGTTTAAGAAATAATGCGGTTTTCTTTGAATTGTTCCCTTTTTAAATTTTCTCAATTGTGACAAGGGGGAAAGTTAGGGGCAAAAATAAAATGGGGTTGAAAATTATCCTGTATACATTATTTAATTTACCCATGTGTTACTTTTCATTCTTTTGTTGGAAAGCTGCATCCACTAAATCAAGGATATAGCTAAGTGCATGTCTTTATCTGAATACACATATTTATATCTAACACATTAAAATATGTGCTAAGTATAGTAAATGCTAATTATATTGCATTTACAGTATTTAATTAACATAGAAAAACACCATGTTCAAAAGAATAATAAGTAACCAATTTTGACATGAAAATAATCACTTAATATAGACATACTTAGTTGTAACTTTTATTGTTCAGCAGTTATAATGTATTAAATACATGTTTGTTAAAGTTATGATTTTATGGGATTTATATTATTTTCAAGCTATATATTGTTGATATGTTGATATATCAGTACAAATCTTTAATTTCAGTTTCTTTCAATTTTACACCCACCAAGAGGGGGAAGTGACACATCAAAATTAAGTGATACTGAACTCCGGGAATGGAAATTGGTAAGAATGTGCATTGTACCATATATTTTTACAAGGTACCAGTACTCATATTTCTGCAGTGTTATACAGTTACTGCTTATATTGGTTCTTTTAAGCCACTAGCATAATAAACAATTATTTTCTCCTTTCTTTAAGAGCTTGTCATTATATCATGTGTCTGTTATGGTAGAGTTTGTCAATATATCACATGTCTGTTCTGTTAGAGCTCGTCATTATATCACGTTTGTTCTGTTAGTGCTTGTCATTATATCACATGTTTGTTCTGTTAGAGCTTGTCATTATATCACATGTCTGTTCTGTTAGAGCTTGTCATTATATCACATGTCAGTTCTATTAGAGCTTGTCATTATATCACATGTCTGTTCTGTTACAGCTTGTCATTATATCACATGACTGTTCTATTAGAGCTTGTCATTATATCACATGTCTGTGCTGTTACAGCTTGTCATTATATCACATGACTGTTCTGTTAGAACATGTCATTATATCACATGTCTGTTCTGTCACTTGCTTGTAATTATATCACATGTCTGTTCTATTACAGCTTGTCATTATATCACATGTCTGTTCTGTTACAGCTTGTCATTATATCACATGTCTGTTCTGTTACAGCTTGTCATTATATCACATGTCTGTTCTGTTAGAACATGTCATTATATCACTTGTCTGTTCTGTTACAGCTTGTCATTATATCACATGTCTGTTCTATTACAGCTTGTCATTATATCACATGTCTGTTCTGTTACAGCTTGTCATATATCACATGTCTGTTCTGTTACAGCTTGTCATTATATCACATGTCTGTTCTGTTACAGCTTGTCATTATAGCACGTCTGTTCTGTTAGATGCTTGTCATTATATCACATGACTGTTCTGTTAGAACATGTCATTATATCACATGTCTGTTCTGTTACAGCTTGTCATTATATCACATATCTGTTCTATTACAGCTTGTCATTATATCACATGTCTGTTCTGTTACAGCTTGTCATTATATCACATGTCTGTTCTGTTACAGCTTGTCATTATATCACTTGTCTGTTCTGTTACAGCTTGTCATTATATCACTTGTCTGTACTGTTACAGCTTGTCATTATATCACATGTCTGTTCTGTACAGCTTGTCATTATATCACATGTCTGTTCTGTTACAGCTTGTCATTATATCACTTGTCTGTTCTGTTACAGTTTGTCATTATAGCACGTCTGTTCTGTTAGATGCTTGTCATTATATCACATGTCTGTTCTGGTGGTGTTTGTCATTATATCACGTTTGGTCTGTTAGAGCTTGTCATTATAACATATGTCTGTTCAATTAGAGCTTGTCATTACATCACAAGTCTGTTCTGTTCGAGCTTGCAATTTTAGGAATTACTAGCATTTCAAAAACACATATATATACAAACATATGAACCCTAAGAATGATGTTTACAACCATTGAATTATTTTGAATATTGTTATTGTTATTACTTTGTTACATTTATGCAGGATCTGCTTTGTGTAGAAAAATATTTACTTATAGAAGCACAGATCAGTTAGTAGTAAATACTTCTTACAGTCATATAAGAGTTGGTAAAAATTTTTAGTCCTCCCCTTCTGCCATGAGCATGCCATAAGATGTTCAATGTATGACGAATTATCTTTAGATTTTAGACGTACTATGGAGTGATCGTTCATTGTATGACGAATTAATCTTTAGATTTTAGACATTCTATGGAGTGATCCACGAACAAAGCATGGTTGTCATGACAACACATTTCGAGGAGGAGGAAGTTACTTTGGTCCTGATATTACAGATTTTATACTGACAAAACACAAACTTAAACGAATTATTCGTTCTCATGAATGTAAGCCTGATGGATATGAATTCACACATAACAATAAGGTTTGTGTTTAGATTAACAATCACATCTTTATTTTGCTTTAAGCATGTTAATTGTTTTATATACATGTTTGTTATCTTTTTTTTTTCATCTTTTTTTCACTTGGTAATTGTAAAAAAATATCACAATTAATTACTATTAGATTCATCTACTAGTATCCTTATGAACTGATTCAGGTATTTGAAAACATGAATTATAAATAGATATAATTTTATAGTCTTGCTATAAGATTGTCAGGAAACTAATATTGAATCATTTCTTGTAGGTATTAACCATATTTTCTGCTTCTAACTACTATGAAGAGGGTAGTAACAAGGGAGCCTATGTGAAGCTGCATGGATCGGACCTAGAGTACCAGCTTGTGCAGTACATGACCAGCAAAGGTGCCAACAGAAAGGTCACCTTTGCTCAGCGAGTGACAAAAGTTGAATCATCTGCTATTGTCAATCTTAGAGAGAAAATCCTGGGCTCTAAGACAGAATTTCTGGAAGAGTTCCACAAACTAGACCCTGAAAAGACAGGTTATTAACATATAAATATATTGCCGGTAAATGAAGACTGCAGTTTACAGAGTCTGTGTAGTTTCTTTGGATTAATGAATTGTCGGAAACCCACAGTTGATTACTTTGTTCCTCTCGTCATCAGAGAGAAATGGTGTAATCAGTGTGGTTTTCAGACAGTGGATTAATGCAGTGTAGTTCTAAGAATTTTGGGGAGGGCTTTCCTCAAGTAATTACATCAGAAAAATATGTAGATGCAATTCGATACAATGTAATGACTTAAGTTCATTATGTATCAATCTGATGAAAACCATGCAGTCCTGATGATGATAGGAGAGAGGGGGTTGGTTTTAAATCAGACTGATTTTATGAAGTATAGACTTTTTTTTAAGAAGTATTACATTAACAGGAAAAGTGACACAGCATGATTGGTGCACAGTGATGGGGAGCATTCTAGGAATGGACCTCCCATGGAGAACCTTAAGACCTAAGCTGGCACGGTGTGATGAGAATGGAATGGTGGCGTATGATACAACATTTGAAGAGATGAGAATTTATCACCGCTACAGTGGGGTACATAATAAATCACATTGTCACATATATTTCTTTGAAAGAACTATGGGAGCAGAAATTCCCAGTCAAAAACTATGTATTCATGAACATTTCAAACTGCAGGTTTTCTTACAGCTGGTTTTAAATTGGTCAAGTTTTGCTAGTTTGTGTACATATGTGGTTTACATTAAAATACAATGTGTAAAATTTATCTGGCAGAATGGTCCCACTGTGACAGAAATGCTGTACAGACAGAAGGACAATCTGGAGAGTCTGTTTAGAATTCTGGATAGAGATAATTCAGGTTATTACATTTCTTACTTTTAAGTAGCCTTTAAGAAGTCTTTAGCAAGAGAGAGAGAGAGAGAGAGAAGAGATATTAGAGTTGTATTTTTTCCTGATAGAAAAAGAAATGAATTATCAGATACAGAACATCAAGAATATCTGAACTTAGAATATATACAACTTTGGCCAACAATAAAAAATGATTTGTTTGATGTACTCCTTCTGACACATTAAAATTGCCCCTCCCAATCTTTTTTCAGTACTTCAAATTCTTTTTTTTTAAATAGATTATTATGGTGGCATATTTCTGCCCCTTGTGTTCAAGTTATTTTTCTGTCAAATATGTCGACATGCAAGATAAATATGTTGACATGCAAGATAGTTATGTCAACATGCAACATAACTATGTTGACATGCAAGAAAATTGCAATCAAATAAGAATTATAAAAAATCTTTAAAATATCTCAAAAATTGCCCACATATGACTTCCAATATGCTAGATGCTACTTATTTATGTCGACATGCAAGTTATTTATGTTGACATGTGAAATAAATATGTTGGCATGCAAGTTATTTATGTCAACATGCAACTTATGTATGTTAACATGCTACTAATTTATGTCAACAGTCAACTTAGTTATGTCAACATGCAACTTAGTTATGTCAACATGCAATTTAGTTATGTTGACATGCGAGATAAATATGTTGACATGCAACTTAGTTATGTTGAGTAGCGGATATATATATAATTTTAAAAATGTAAATATCCAAAAAATGAAATCACAAATCGATGTAAATGTCTGAAGACCCAGGAATGGCGAAAAAGTTTAAAGTGAATATGATCGATTTATAATTTCATTTTGGATATATACTTTTTTAAATATGATCGATTTTCAAGAAGATAAGATTTTGAATTAAATGATTAAATTTAAATGCAAAAGAAATTACGTGATACACAATTTGAACATTTGTGCGAGCGTGCAGATTCGTTACTATCCAAGACATGTGCAATGAGGCACGGATCAGGGTTTTTTTCTGTCGGTAAAATTGAAGTTAATTTTGGACAACAAAGTATAAATTGGATTTCCTTAGATAAAATGTCCTGGCGATTCAGAAACGTGACCGTAGATTATAAAATGTTCTAGGGCCCCTCTCTGTGGGCTACCTATAGTAATTGATGTGTCCGTTCATCCATCTGTTTGTCCGAGGTCTCTTTTAAGGGATGTGCAGTGACCTTGAACTATGTTTCAAGGTCTAAGGTTAAGGTCATAGTAGAACTGTATCTGAAAAATGCATGTCAACATAAATAAGTTGCATGTCGACATAAATATGTTGCATGTCAACATATTTATCTCGCATGTCGACATAAATAAGTTGCATGTCAACATAAATAAGTTGCATGTCAACATAAATAAGTTGCATGTTGACATAAATAAGTTGCATATCAACATTTTATCTTGCATGTCAACATAACCAAGTTGCATTTTGACATAAATAAGTTGCATATCAACATATTTATCTCGCATGTTAACATAAATAAGAAGCATCTAGCATGTTGGATGTCACATTTAGGCAATATTTGAGATTTTTGAAGATTTTTTATCATTTGTATTTGATTGCAATTTTCTTGCATGTCAACATAGTTATCTTGCATTTTGACATAACTATCTTGTATTTCAACATATTTATCATGCATGTCGACATATTTGATAGAAAAATAACTTGCATACAAGGGGCAGAAATATGCCACCATAGATTATCTGTTAGTATTGTTTTTAAAGTTAGGGTCAGTATCAATTTTCTAAGGTACATTCTAGATTAAAAGATTTTACAGAAATAGATAATTTATTTAATTTGTTTAGCTGTCAGGTGTCTTTAATGAAAATTTCTAACTCTGTGGTTTATAAGCAATTGTCAAAATGTTAGAAAATATTTAAGAAAAAAAAATCTAACTACCCACCTTGAAAAATGTGGGTTGGAGTAAAAATTTTAATGATGGATTAATTGTACTGATTACGTGCCAGCTATTTAAATACTTATAGAAGACTAGTACATGCATATTTTTTCCTACATAAAATGCAATACCATAAGTGTAATTATTGTCTTATGTATTATCAAATTAATCATTTTCATTTTGTTATCATTAATTAAAAGGACAAATTTCAATGGAGGAATTTAATGAAGTTATCCAACTCCTTGTGAAACAACAGAATGTGAACTGTCCACTGGACCAAATCTCAGACATAGCCAAGAGCATTGACTTAAATCATGATGGGAAAATAGACTTTAATGAATTCCTGGAAGCTTTTAGGATTGTGGACAGTTATGGCAAATTCTCGGAGGTCCAGCGCCAGGAGCTCATGTCTATCAGTTCAATGGACAGTATCATGAATATGAAGAACTGTAGTTTTTCTATGGGGACCAAGAGAAGAGTCTCAAACCTGGATGATATCAAAGAATTCAAATGAAGATCAAGACAATCAAACATCTTTTAAATTAGAATTACTTGTTTCTGCAGGTTTTGCTATATAGTCATGGTTTTATGAATAATTGTCTTGATGTTTTATGAATATATTTTTTTAAGTTACTAAAGTTTAGGATGTCCATCCATCATCCTCGCAAGCCAGGGGTCCTGAGTCAACACGTTGCTGTTGGACCCCTGGCATATTTCATTCAATATTCGTGGGCTGACTGTAGCGATGTCTTGATGTCTTTTAGAAAAATTACAAATCTTGATTGTTTTTATTATCTCTCAACCAATCACATAAAGCCATTCTATGATAAACAACTTGTAACACGTGCATTTGAGGTGTCAACTGAATTCTTATCTAACTATTTATGAAAGCTTTAATTTGATTGGTGCTTCTCAATGAGAGAAGCAAGCCCACGAATATTGAATGAAATATGCCAGGGGTCCAACGGCAACGTGTTGACTCAGGACCTCTGGCTTGCAAGGATGTCTATCCATTAGCATATGACAGTCTTGTGTACCTTAGTTTTGGAATCAAAAAGTCTGTGATTTTTTTTAATCCTTCATTTTCAATGTACATCCTCTTAAATCTGTACAAGTTTGGAGCTGTGTCTAGCTTTTTAATTGTAGCAATTTTATGTCTATTTGCTTTTCCATTATCATATTTGATTTAAGATTATGAAAAACAAACCAAGAACACCTCCTAAACAATTTAAATTATTTATTGGAGAAACATATATCATTGAAATCCAAATGCCAAATTTGTAAGCTAATCTCCTTAGAAAAAGACTAGTCTACCATTTGCACTATACAAAAGTAGGGAGTGTGATTGATGCATGAAGTATTCAAACAATACATTGAAGATTTTCATTTCTATTAATTTTATATGAACCATTTATATTCATTGTTATTTAATTGGATATCAAATCTAACTTCATGAGTGAGACAAGATTTTTTTTTATGTTTTCCCAAGTGCAAAACACAAGTGAAAACATTATAAAAAATACAATTTAATGAGTAAAAAAGATTCCATGTACAACTACAAAACATTGAATTTTCTGTTTATTATATCTTATTTTTCGGTTTTCCTTTTGTCCCTGAATTAACTGTTACTTATTGAATTTCATAATACTGTGTTTAATTTAAGTGCATAAGAATGATGCAAGAAATAAAGCACACAATATGTTTGAATAAATAGTCAACTTTAATTTAACCCTATTATGATAATTTTAACACAAAATAGATGCTGTCATAAGACAGTAAAACCAACATGTAAGAGTTTGCCCCTAAATGTACTTTCCTCCATACCTAGGTAACTAACAAAAAAGCCATGATAGTTATTCCATAATTCATGTAAATATATGTGTATTAAATTGAACATAAAATGTTCAGGTGAGCATGTGGGCTATGGGCCTCTTACATTACTATTTTATGTACAGTGAAGCCTCATTAATCCAGGCACCAATTATGTGGACGCTTCACCTTTCGGACAAAATTTTGTGGGGAACAATTTATATTTATATTTACCAAGTATGTTTCAGTTATCCGGATACTTCATTAATCCAGACAATTTGCTTAGAAAAACAAGTGTCCAGATTATCAAGGTGCAACTGTAGTAAACTCATTAGTCTGAAATCAAATGATTTAATGAAGCATTGATTCTGTTTAGAAAGGTGTTTTGGGGAGAAAAAAAGCTTTTCATACATTTTAAATTTTTAGTCCCCAGTTGTCAGAAAAATTAAATTGCAAAAACCAGTTGCACATCTACAGGACACCACCAATTACATACTTCATAAAATGAAAGAGTAGTTCTGGGAAACAGAATTTTGGAAAGTATGTGCTTTGTTTATCTGCTCAACACTTAGGAACAGACAGAATTATTTAATAGAATGAATGCATTTTTACTATTTTATCAATAGAATCCCACCCTTGCACCAGAACATCTCACCCAGGGGGCATGAAACTCACACTTCTGGAAGAAGCATTCTTGTTTAAATTATTATAACTATACACTTGGTTTCTTTGCTTCATAATCAGGAGAAGAAATGAATATTTTCAAACAAATTATGCTTTTTATGCTCCCGGATCGAAAGATCTCGGGGGTATATTGTTTTTGTCCTCTCTGTCTGTCTGTTTATCTGTTTGTTTATCTGTTTTCTGTCTGTTGTCAACTTTAACCTTGTCCATAACTTTTGATTGGTTGGAGCTATGACTTTCATATTTCACATGTGTATTCCTTGTGACAAGACCTTTCTTTGGGTACCATCATATCTGACCTTTTGACCTTGACCTTGGAGTTTGACCCACTTTTGCAAAATTTTATGAGACTTTAACCTTGGCCATAACTTCTGAACAGTTGGAGCTTGGGGTTTCAAACTTCACATGTGTATTCTTTGTGACAAGGCCTTCCTTTGGATACCAACAACTTTGACCCTTTGACCTTGACCTTGGAGTTTGACCTACTTTTGAAAAACTTTAACCTTGGCCATAACTTTTGAACGGTTAGAGCTAGGGCTTTCATATTTCACATATGTAATCCTTGTGACAAGACCTTCCTTTGGATACCAACTACTTTGACCCTTTGATCTTGACATAGGAGTTTGACCTACTTTCGAAAAACTTTGACCTTGGCCATAATTTTTGAATGGTTGGTGCTACGGCTTTCATACTTCACATATGTAATCCTTGTGGCAAGACCTTTCTTTGTATACTAACAACTTTGACCTTGACGTTTTACTTACTTTTTAAAAAAATTTAACCTTCGCCATAACTTTTGAACAGTTCCAGCTAGGGCTTTCAAATTAAACATTTTTAGGTCACCTGAGTCACTCAGGTGACCTATTGCTATCTGTTTTTGTCCGTCGTCGTGCGTCCGTCGTCGTTCGTAAACTTTTGAACATTTTCAGCTTCTTCTCTGGAACCAGTGAACCAATTTCAACCAATTTTGGCATATAGCATCTATGGGTGAAGGGGAACTAAAATTGTGAAATTCGTGGCCCCTGCCCCCCTGGGGCCTGAGGGGTGGGGCCAAAACCATCAAAATTAATGCAATCTTTAAAAATCTTCTTCTTTACTCCTGGACATCAAGCAGTCAAACTGTTGGCATGATTGTAATAAGCATTGAGCCCTCTACCAAAATTGTGAAATTCATGGCCCCAGGGTCAGGGGTTCTGGTGTTAGGGCGGGGCTATATAGATCATATAGTGAAAGTGCATTATTTCTTTGAAAATCTTCTTCTCTACTCCTGGGTATTATTGAAACAAATTGAATACATAGTTATGATAAGCAAGAGTGACTCTACCAAAATTGTGAAATTCAAAGCCCCAGGGTCAGGGGTTCTGGTGTTAGGGCGGGGCTATATAGATCATATAGTGAAAGTGCATTATTTCTTTGAAAATCTTCTTCTCTACTCCTGGGTATTATTGAAACAAATTGAATACATAGTTATGATAAGCAAGAGTGACTCTATCAAAATTGTGAAATTCATGGCCCCTGGGTCAGGGGTTATGGTGCTAGGGCGGGGCTATATAGATCATATAGTGAAAGTGCATTATTTCTTTGAAAATCTTCTTCTCTACTCCTGGGTATTATTGAAACAAATTGAATACATAGTTATGATAAGCAAGAGTGACTCTACCAAAATTGTGAAATTCAAAGCCCCAGGGTCAGGGGTTCTGGTGTTAGGGCGGGGCTATATAGATCATATAGTGAAAGTGCATTATTTCTTTGAAAATCTTCTTCTCTACTCCTGGGTATTATTGAAACAAATTGAATACATAGTTATGATAAGCAAGAGTGACTCTATCAAAATTGTGAAATTCATGGCCCCTGGGTCAGGGGTTATGGTGCTAGGGCGGGGCTATATAGATCATATAGTGAAAGTGCATTATTTCTTTGAAAATCTTCTTCTCTACTCCTGGGTATTATTGAAACAAATTGAATACATAGTTATGATAAGCAAGAGTGATTCTACCAAAATTGTGAAATTCATAGCCCCAGGGTCAGGGGTTCTGGTGTTAGGGCGGGGCTATATAGATCATATAGTGAAAGTGCATTATTTCTTTGAAAATCTTCTTCTCTACTCCTGGGTATTATTGAAACAAATTGAATACATAGTTATGATAAGCAAGAGTGACTCTACCAAAATTGTGAAATTCATAGCCCCAGGGTCAGGGATTCTGGTGTTAGGGCGGGGCTATATAGATCATATAGTGAATGTGCATTATTTCTTTGAAAATCTTCTTCTCTACTCCTGGGTATTATTGAAACAAATTGAATACATAGTTATGATAAGCAAGAGTGACTCTACCAAAATTGTGAAATTCATAGCCCCAGGGTCAGGGGTTCTGGTGCTAGGGTGGGGCTATATAGATCATATAGTGAAAGTGCATTATTTCTTTGAAAATCTTCTTCTCTACTCCTGGGTATTATTGAAACAAATCGAATACATAGTTATGATGAGCAAGAGTGACTCTACCAACATTGTGAAATTCATGGCCCCTGGGTCAGGGGTTCTGGTGCTAGGGTGGGGCTATATAGATCATATAGTGAAAGTGCATTATTTCTTTGAAAAGCTTCTTCTCTTCTCCTGGGTATTATTTAAACAAATACATGATTATGATAAGCAAGGATGCCTTTTCCAAATTTGTGAATTTCATGACCCCTGGATCAGAGGTTCTGATGTTAGGGTGGGACTCTATTTATTATATAGTGAAAATGCATTAATGCTTTAAAAATCTTCTCTGCACCTGGGCATATCAGAGGCAAAAAGGGTAAAAGTTTTAATAAGGAAGGGTATTTTTACCAGATTTTTGAACATCAAGACCATTTGGTCAAGTGTTCTAGTCCAGGCCAGGGCTCTATTAATTTGTATTCTACTGAGAGGAGTTATCCCCCTTTGCCATTTACTTGTTATAATTAATCACTGTAAATAATGTACTTGAAAGGTTAATAGAATAAGAGAATTATGCAAGAATTTTTATTGTATAATACAAAAAGTACTTTCATAGTTTTAATGATCAGGTAGACTTGTCTTATTAAGGTTTTCCATCCCTAATAGGAACTAATTCTCTATCCTTAAATATCAATCACGTATATAAT